GAAAATTAAAATAATTTTTTTAATCGCTCAATTTTTGACTCAACAACTGGGCGTTGTGATGTTTGATGAAAATTTTGTTTAGCCATTTGAAAACTATTGTTGTCCGGGCCCAAATCAAAAAAAATCTAACCTATGATAAATGTTTGTGAATAATAGAGGATTTAAAAATTGACATTATAGTTATTGGACGATATTTATGTTTATGACATCCTATTGTAAATCAAAAACTTTTCTCGATGATATAGGAATCTTTCATATCAATTTTTTCAAAAAAAATTGAGTCACAATTTTGAAGATTTCGATGAAAAATGATAGAATCCAAGAATGTTTTCAAAAGTCAACACGGATTTTTACGGTAAAAAATTGATTCCGAGTCAGAAAAAAAATATTTTTTTGCCTAAAAAATCGGTTCAAATAGATTTTTTGAAGTAGTGAAATCTACCAAAAATTCAAGAAAATTAACTTAAACATGATTTTTGTTGTAGCTTTAGAAACATTTATTACCAAAAAAATCTCCATGAGAGCTTCAGAGAGCTAGAGCCACTTTAAAAAAAAGTGTAAATCTAGGGGTTCCCGTAAAATGTAAGGTGAAATAATTCAGCTTTTACAAATATCTTTTTAATCAACGTTCTGGGCGGAATGAACAGATGGAAAAAAATCAAATTTATGAGAAACTATTTTTATACCTAGAGTTACTTATACTTAGAGTTACTGGAATTTTTTCAGGTCAAACATCGCAAAATTCAATTGAAAGTTTTACGTTATATTTTTGTTTCCATTTTTCTCTGTTGTTTGATAGTCTACAAAATCTGAAAGTTATGTGTAGATAGACTGTTTCAAATGAGTTTAAAAAAGCGGATAAAATTCATTTCAAATTGATTAGTTCGATTCTTTTGTTACTAAAATCTGGATAAATTTAAAACCAAAAAAATGCCAAAAAATAAATTTAAATGATTCTAAAACCGAATAAAACTGGTTTTTACATTTGCTTTTTGAACCAAACGAAACCAATTTTGAATTGATTCATAGCAAACGTTTTTTAACTATAAATCTGAATAAAAAAGGTTGCAATCCTTATCAAAATCCATTTCTTAATCTAAGCCGTTGTTTTCAACATTTTCATTATCTTGTTTAGACAATTATTTTTAAAATACGTTAAGTTGCACTGAGATCAAAATATCTAATTAAAAGTGGAAGTTACTTTGACAATGCCCTTTTTATTGATTGACAACAGTATGCGGGTGTTTTCTTGATATTTTTTTCTCATTTTTAAACATTTCATTGAAAGCTGTGTTATGATGACTGTTTGTTTAGTTTACCTGGCCATTCGCCCCAAAAAAGTGTATTGTCGGAGAAACTGCGCATCGAAACTCGAAGGTTCCATCTTCCTTTTTGTGTCAACCTGTGCATTCTGTTCAACCCCAGCCACATATCTCCAGCTCCGGAAAAGTCTCCAAAACCTGCTTCATACTCCCCAAACGTGCGGTTGAATAAAATGTCAAATTGTTTTCGCCTCTGTAAAACTATCTCCTGTCCCAACTGAAATGCGGGTCAACTTAAAAATTACAATCCCTTTCTTCAAGAACAGGAGTAATTCTTTTGTAAATTCAACCCAGAAAACTGCTTTTCGGGAACTAAACGGTATTTTAGAACGCATTTGGACCCAATTTTGTGAATTTTCTATGAAAAAAAGCGCAAGAAACATCCGGGAGGAGGTCTGTTTCAGGCTAAGTTAGATGTAATTGCTTCATTTTGACATGCGCCGCTCTGATAGTTAGCATTTGTTTAGTGAAATTGATTCAATTTTAATACAAAAATTTTTATATACCAACTTGTCATGCTTTAAGGGGACTAGGAAGACCCTTAGATAAATCATATGTTCAGCTTTTTCAAAATTTTTGCTGCAAATGCTTGAATAAAACTAATTTTTGTACATGCTTTTTTATATTGTTGCCGCGTTTTTTCTAAGATGAGCGTTTTTTAGTTATTAGCCTCCAGGATAGTTTTTTTGTTCTCAATATCCGCTTTTAGCATTTGTTTTTGTGTATTGTGATTGCAATGCTGCAAGATTTTTTGACCTTTTTTTGACATTCAATTGTAAAGTTTCCTAAATCATACATAGAAAACGGTTTTCTAGATAACTTACTGTTATTTCTTCCAAATTCACCTCTACCCTCTCAATTCTGCTGGATATAATTACTAAATCACCCGCAACACTATCAATTTTGGTGGAAATGTTAGCGATATCACCCGCAACCATGTTGGAATGATAGGCCAAATCACTCTCAACTCTCTCAACTTTGATTGAAATGTTTGCCAAACCGTCTGCCAGTCGAGCGAGGTTTTCTGTAAAACGATTGCTGTTGTCATCGTTCACTCGATTGGCGTCAGTGTGTTGTGCCTTGATCTTTTTTGTTTCATTTGATAAAGAAATTGTCAGGAACAATAGAACGACAACCAATGTCTAAATAATTGAAAAAAAAACATCAATACAAGCAATAAATTACGAAAAGAAAATTATTGGAATTGGGCTTCCTATGCTGTTCAAGAAAATGTAACACTAAGATGAACTATCCTCCATCAAATTGCCTTACAAGTTTTGTTTCTTTCACGCTTTTTTGGCCTGTTTTTTTTTTAAAAACTTGCATGCGGCGCAGAACATTTTTCACAAAGTAGGGTCCTTATAATACTTTAGAAGAGCTCCGAAAATGTAATTGACGACCTTAAAAAAACGTCCGTGAAATTTGCTTTTTTTGGAAACACCCCCCTAGAAAACTTTTTTGGCAAGCCACTGGGTTCAAGTTCTACCAATTAAAGTATATTTTAAACGCTATTGTTCATCAATTTTCGTTTCATTATTCATAAAAATAACAGTTGTTTTGCGTCACTGACACTGGCAGAAAATATCTTTAGAACAAATTGTGGCTTCCACTTGCGCTCAACTGTTTTCGTTTTCCAATCAGTTTAGTTTATGCAATCTTATGCTTTTGATAAAAATTCTCGCATTTTTTCTTAAATGGAAGTTTATTCAAGAACCCCGTACCCAGCAAAGACTTCTGAATTACTTAGAAAAATATATAGATTACCTTCGCTATAACTACTGTTTCCGAACAAAAAAATCTATTTCTTATCTGACAATAGAAACAAACAAGTTCAAGTGAAGTCTAAGCTAAGAGCATTTCACCGCTCTACCATTTCATATTAGATCAAAACGTTTTTAAGTATACAAAAAAGTCGTAACTTTATGATGCGTTAAAAATCTCTCATCTGACATCTCCGGTTTGAAAGTATAGTCCTGTGTACTCTAACAGGGGCGACGGATCTAGAATTTTCTCGAGGGGGGGGGGGATTTCGAAAAAAAAAATTCAAAAAATTTGTCGACAGTTTTTTTAAAGTAGATCAAATTAATTTTCTCATCTCTCACCAATGACTTATAAAGTCCCTATTTGACCAAATTTTCTGCTGCGCAGGCAAATCTTAGAAAAACAGGCCAAAAAATTGAACTTTTTGTTAAAACTAGGGTATTTTGACGCCAAAAGCGTACTAAAAAAATGGACCAAAATGCTGCTCAACTGGTAGCTACAAGGTTTTAATTGTTTTAAACACTTTAATTATGCATTTAACTTTTTCTTCTTTTTTCAATTAGTACCGGTTTAGCCACTCCTAATGTACTCTTAGATAGTGTCATTTGATTACAATTAAAACACCTCAGCGCAACTTCTTTATCAATTGAAGTGCAAAAAATTACGGGAAGTTCTTTGCACATGAAAACGTAGTGGAGTGGACCGCTGTCACGATGTCGTATCTAATTATAAAAACTCGAATCGAGTTGACCCCCCCCCCCCCCCCAAAAAAAACCAACGCTCTAGGATAACGGGATGTTATCTTATTGCTCCAAATTGCATATGAGCCCTTCAATAAAAATGATCAAGGTGTTTTTGATGAACACTGTTCAATAATGGTCTAATTTGTTGTCATGAATCTTTGAAAAAGGTCGCTCGAAATTTCAAACAACTTGATTAATTCCCGCTATAATTCCATAGTTTGAAACTTTACTTACTGCCAAAACAACAACGGCAATCACCAATGCGATCATCATAGCCATGAAACATTTCACAGGCCAATTATTCGGTTGTAGCTCTTTGTCTTGCTTTCGTCCGCCGTTGCGCTGAGTAATCGCCGGCTCCTCGTAAACATATTTGCTACCGGAAATCTGCTCATCTTGTTCAATGTTCGCCGACTCCTCATAAACGCTGTCTTCTCGTTTGTTACCGGAAATCTGCCCATCTGCATTGATGTTCGGGTTAGATTCAGTATTTTGAAGTTGGAAACTAACATCACCAGTCGATGTTTTGAAAGATGCCATTTGCGTGTTGTTTATTAAAAAATTTTGGTTACCCCTTTTTAAATGCGCTTGTAAAGTTTATGTATAACCATCGATATTAAGAGCTGTGCTCTTATCTATCTTTTTCATTTACTGTGCAAGTGTTCAAATATTTTCAATAATGACCAAAGATCTGGCTTTCTACCTGGCTTATGAAAAAAAGCAAGTTAAACGTTCTAGAAGAACATCATAATACAGTTAAAACTACTCTTTTGGCACTTTTATCAAATGCGCTCGAACTATAATTATCTCTGTCGAGTTAAAACTAGTTGTGTGTACTTTTATGATTACCCCTTTTTTAAATGCGCTTGTAAAGTTTTTTATAACCACTGATATCAAGAGCTGCGTGCTCGTATCTATCTTTTTCATTTACTGTGCAAGTGTTCAAATAATTTCAATAATGACCAAAGATCTGGCTTTCTACCTGGCTTATGAAAAAAAGCAAGTTAAACGTTCTACAAGAACATCATAATACAGTTAAAACTACTCTTTTGGCACTTTTATCAAACGCGCTCGAACTATAAATATCCCTGTCGAGTTAAAACTAATTTTGTGTAATTTTATCGAAAATTACATAAATATCTCTGATTTTATCAATTGTGAATTTAAGGTAATTTATGAAAAATGCATTATAAAAAGTCTAATTGACATTCACATGCAGAACATTAATTTCTTGCAGAGTTTTTTTGCAGTTCTCATCTAAGCCAGAGAGGTTGTTTTGCTTTCCGGATACGGTGGCGCTTCTGGCATGCTAGGGTACTGCTGATAACCCCCAGAATCTGAAACTGGGTACGGAAGCGATTGCTGCTGCGAATTTTGATGAGGTTGGTTATAAGACTGACCCCCTGATGGCGGGTAAGGATTTGGATTCGGGGGGTAGTTATTGTAGGCCCCTGGATACTGTCCAGGTGCTGCTGATTGGTTGGTGGGTGTGTACCCTGGTGTGTATTGGTACCCTTGTTGAAGAGGGGGATGGGCTGCCATGTTTGGGTTGTAGTGGTTGGGAGCATATCCAGGTGGGGGTGGGGGCTGATTAGGATGGACTGATTGAGTCATCGGGGGAGGGGGAGGTGGGATTGTTTGGCCCGGACCCCAATTCGGTTGACCTAAAACAACAAACAAGGTCATTTAATTTGCATGAGGTGTAATTTATTCGAGGCATAATACAAACAATTTTTTTTGATAGTTTCGAAGACGAGAAAACGTGGGAATGTTTGTTCTGTACGCCATGTTCTAACCCGCAGATCTGTATCCCTAAAAATTCTCTAAAAATTCTCGCAAGATCTTACAAAGTACGGCGTTTGCATCTCAACTTAGCTATCTTGAAAAATCTTGTTGGAACTTCGCAAGATTGTTATTCATCTGAAAGAGTTCTTTGTACGATGTTTGCAAAAAAAAATCCCAAATTCATTTAATGTTGGCCAAAAATTGTTTAATCTTTTCTTCGGCTGAAACTGTTCTCAAAATGATGTGCCAGTAAGGAAAATTACATTCTAAATAATGTGCAGAAAAATAATTTATATAGAATCGATGACAGATTTTGCGCATGTAGACTTTTTTTAATGGTTCACACGAAACTGAAAAGGAGATAAAAAGAAAATGGGGGGGGGGGCTCTGTTGGAAATTAAAGCCTGTGTCACGTACCTCCAAAGGGGTTGCTGTTCTGTCCCCCTCCCCCGCCTCCAATGTCACTGGTGAGTATCTTCAGGGCAGCCACAGTCTGTATGGTGTCGTGTGAGATGTGAGGTCGCTGATACTAATCAAATGTAATATTAATAGATAATAGAAAATAATTTGTCTTCAGATTTATAATCAATAAAATGCATTCTTTTGTTCACATAATTATTTACCATTTTGAAGCCTGAGAAGCGACATTAGACCAACTCAAAACAAAAATACAGTTCGCAGCAAAAGGCATTTTGAAATTTAGGGAGGGGGGGGGGGTCGATTGGTTACCACAACTTCAGAGTTTTTAGAGTTTTTATCACTCAAACTTTTCCAGCCAGTCAAACAATTTGTATTGCGTTTATGCCTTTACTTTGTTGACCCCCACCTTTGAAATTTTCGCCGCCATCATATAATATTTTGAGTGGCGAATGCGAGCCAAAAAAACTCCATGGTCGAAACTATTCCAAATGTGTCCAATTTCGCCAATTTCCTACTTTTTGTTAAAAAACCTGATCCGCAAAATGTTTAAGAAAAATAGGTCCTGGCAGTTATTTAAAAGAGTTCTTAAATTTTTTGCAAACCAGAGAAAAGTTCGGAGATACATTTTCGAAGGTCCGCCTGAAAGTCCCAGAGCAGAGTGTTCTAATCGGCAACGACTAATCGGCATTTGGGTTAAAATTTGCATGTTTTTGTAGCTACATGCGTTTATCATATTCCTCTGTATTTTTTAGTGTTTTTGGTTGGTTTATTTTCCGGCAGGGATCTTGCTTACTAGTTTTTTAACTACCCCCCTCGTGAAAATCTCAAAGTAAGAAAATAAATCCATGCCATTAGTGTTAATACTGACCGACTAAATAATAAGCAGATGAATTTTCAAGACTGAAAATTTCTTATGAACTTGAACTCATAAATCTTGATTTTTATCTGAATAGTATTGCGGTTGTAACCCGCAATTTGTATTATTCTTGATTATTTTCCACTGATTTAAAACATTTTCTGTTAATATTGACTTCGATTTTGTGAGAAAGGCATTTGGCCAATAGAAACGCTTAGCGATTTTGATTGGTTGAAACTTTTCAAGCATTCGGTCCTTCAAACCCTCCCCCCAAGAGATTGTTACCTGGTTGCAGAGTCCCTCCAGTTTGGGTCGAATGAAACAGCAGAGGAAGCAGCAGCCTGCCAGAATGAGTGCCAGAATGACCAGGATCAAAATGGCCAACCACACTGGCATCGGTTCCTTCACACAACATCGTCCAGGGGTCATCACCTGCAGAACACAACAGGGTTGTTATACAAATATGAAAGTTTTGTTCCTGCAAGAATAGTTGAAAAGAAAAGTAATAGTAAACAAATGAAATTGTTTTTTTTTCGAATACTTTCAATCCCATTAAAGTTTCTACAGCAGTAGCTGTCCATTTATAATTTACTAACTGATGATATAAGAAACAGAATTTTTTTGGAAGCTATTCTGACAACAATCTAATAAAGTTTTCTCTTTGGTCGGTTGAAACAAGTCTTTAACGGTTTTTTATTTTTTTACTGATAAAAAATTTTTTGTTCACTCTTTTCTGCTCAAAACCATGGCCCTCTGAACATTCTTTATATAATCAGTTCTCTTTTGCTCATCCCATCGCCAAATCCTCGCTTTCTACATTTCATGCCGGTTTTTTTCATTCTTTTGATAGTGTCATCCCTCCTGAATGGCGAAACCATAAGGTTTATTGTATTATATACACATAAATTGTTTTTATACTGGTGGCATGACCTTGTGGGTAATCAAGGCCATCTTTATAGCCAAACCGAGTGATCGGCAGAGCAAAAAATAATTTGTTTATCATACAGTTGTCAATTTACCCATAACCTGCGTCATTGTATTTGTCAATTTCGTTCGCATTCGATATTGAAGATCTACGCATACCGTAAGGTTTGACATGGTACATCCATCAAACTATACCAAGAACCCGCTAAATATCGATCCATTTTGACCGCGAGCATCTGCAGGTTCACCATTAGAATGGTCGAAGTGGGCGGCCCTAATGGAAATGGCCATATTCGCCAAAGATGGAATTGAAGTACGAAATTCACGCCGTGACAAAGCGACACTCACAGGTCCGACTGAACCCAGATACGAAGTCAAAATAAATGGAGAAACCGACGCTCAAAAAACTTCCGGGTACGTAAACAAGGAGAGATAATCGGCTGGGAGAATAAAGTATTAAAAGCACGAGAAAAAGGAGTGCAAACAATTCCTTTGGATGGAACGAGGTAGAGGCAAAAGTCAAAAGTTACATATTCTTATGTTTGGGTGCTGAAGGCCAGAGACAACTAGAGTGAAAAAAGACCGGGCGTGGCCCTACAATCTACGAAAACGAGACAAATAGTAACAATAGTGGAAGCTTTTTCATAACAGAACAAAAAATTGCATTTGAACGCCTTAATTTGTCGAAAACAGGGAAAAAATGAACCACTTCAACAATTTCATACAGATTTAGTGAAATTGGCGTAAAGGGCCGACTGCGGAAATTCAGAAGAGGAATGCATACAAGATAGGTTTACCGCCTAAATAAACCACAAAAAGACAGCCAAAGAACTATTAGCAGAGATCGATCTGCACAAGATGCGTACGAATATGCAACTTGTCGAGAAAAGGGAACCAAACACGGTAGAGCAACAAAAAAAATCTTTTCGGTCCATCAACTTCTACACCAACAAAATTAGAATTTATGGGATACACACAACCTCGAGAAAGGAAAAACAGGCAAACTAACAAACTAACCAAAGGGGCCGACCTCATGAGGACGATAGAACTTCACACGAGGAAAATTGAAAAATAGAAGAGAACAGAATACAAATCACGTGGGACAATACAAGAAATATTACAAATGCTGAAGACAATTCGGTCGGAACCCTTTATAATCATGCGCCGCGAAAGATAAGATCTGTTCTAGAAGTGCAAAGAGGGGAGATTTTGCAAAAGTTTGCTAATCTACAAAAGTTAACTTCATGCGAGTGGGAGGAAATGAATGACAACTACAAAACTAAGAAGACATCACAAAGGTAGAAGAGGTAACCCAGTGGCGTTCGCTGAAATCATGTCAACAAACGGATGGGAAGATATCCCACTAGACAACATCACAGTTATGGCCATAGCAGAAGCGTTTAAAGTCAGAGACACACCAAAAATAACCAAAAAAGACTTAAACGAGCACATAGTAAAATGAAAACGACATCTGAGAACATGAATGCCATTCCAAATTCCGGCAGTCTGATATGTTCCAAGGAAAAAGTCTGCACAACAATTGAGGACAAACGATGAATCGACGACTTTCAACTACATCCCATCGGAGGACGCTGCTCGAGTTTTCGCATTTTATTTTGGAAAATTTATGTTTCCGAAAGGACGAATTATTATTGCACTAGAACTCGGATGATGAACAGTTCAATTAGCACCGTTCATCATCGTAGACGATCAAAAGGAGAAAATCATCGGAGGACATTAAACTGGTACAAGTAAAACCAAAAAAGGAGCAGATAGGCAGCCTTTATGAGAACAAAATTTCAGACCCAGAGATCAAACAGTGAATAAAAAACAATTGCAAACAATTGTGTTTGAGAAGTGGTAAAGTCGAAAACTATCTGATAAAAACCCAATTGATCGAAAATGTTGTCCCGATCCAAGAAAAAGGAAGAAGAAGTCCGATACATTTGAAAGAAAGAGCCGAGAAAGAGCTGTAAAAATTGATCAAACAAAAGCAGATCACTGAATTAAACAAGTGCACAGACAACCAATTAATTAGTCCCATAATAATAACCATAAATAGGATCAAATTGCCAAATTGGCATTGGATTTCCAGAAATTTAACAATATCATACACAAAAACAAATATCAATTGCCCAATACAGAACTGTTTCTGGACAATACAGCGCAGATAGTAAAATCAAAGGAAAAAAGTCAAAATGTTTTCTCAAATATCGATTACGATATGATTACTCGCAAATTCCGCTGGATCCAAAATCCAGAGAACACTGCAATTTCAATCTTATCTGAGGAAATGCAACAGGAAGAGTCAAAATCCAAAAATGGTTTTAGGATCAACCGACAAGCCAAACGAAACTGCACCATCAATGACAGGTAGTACACAACAAAAACTAGAGGCAAGCCACAAAATGATCACGAGCAGCATTGTGACACCATTCCTTCTCAATTCAACTAAGACAGACATTATTGGAAAGCATCCATCTCATGGACCCAAGATCCGCCGCTATGCTCGACCTCTGCGAACCCATTTGGTTTACGCACATACACAGATCAATTGTCCAGATGTCACGAAACTGCCGACAATGTACTGAACGAGGTGAAAATTTAGGACCATTTTTAGGGAAAATTCATTCACTCCAAATCGAATCAACAGTCGAGCCGAATGAAGAGGTTCAACTAGATTTCGCAGGACTTCTACCCAACGAACTAAACCGCGAAGCGTATATACTCGTAGCCATAGATTACTGGTCGAATTTCCGACAGCTAAAGTGGTATTTAACACCAGAGCAGCCACAAGATTTATGCAAAGATATAAATCAATCAATGGCGTCTCGCAAAATTCAGATGCAATCAGAGTCAAAAGTTCTGTTTTTTTTTGTGGATCAAGCAACATCAAATAATTATTTGCATCTGCAAACAATCACAACTTGATAGGTGTGGTCAGACGAATGATACAAGCATTAAAACGCAAGCTAAGAGTTATGAGAATAGACAAAAATAACTTACCTTATAAAATAGCATCAGACAAAGCTGAAATAATCAAAACATTTTGTATCACTCCAGTGGCTGAAAATCTCGCCATTCGAAGCACACATAGGACAAAACCAAGCACACTATAATCAAGTATAACAACAAGCTCAGCAAATAACCTAAACTGGGACGATGCAAAACACGCCTGAAGACAAAGTGGTTAAAAACGGCGGCCATCAGACCTCCTACAAGAACCTTTGAACAAGGAAACTATAAAACCAGCACAAGCAGCCCAACAGGAAACACGTGTGAAAACTAGGCAGACATTATTTAAAGAGCGAGAAAAGTTATATCTAAGATACAAGTTGATACAACACCAGGTAGATGCAAACACCAAAAAACGGACAGATGAAGTGGCAACGAGAAAAATAAGAGTAGCTACAAAAAAAAGACCCAGAAACATCGAACAAAAATACAAAAACTACGAACGGGAAAATCTTAATTTACACACCACACACACAGCTTGGGTGCAGACATTGGGTAAGCCACCGAGAATACCAAGAAATGGCGGATTCGCATTTGTCCCCAATCTGTTGATTTATGGATCTTGCATACCCTCACGACTAAGCAAGTACGTTGCATGTAGATCCGCGCAGAGAACAGGACTAGGTTTACAATTGTTTTGGACATTGAAAAACCAAACGCGCCACAACATCCCATGTTCAAAAAAAGGAAGATGTCAAGAAAAGATAAACAGTAGCAGTCACAAGATAGCCAAAGAAAAAAAAACGCGAAGCAAACAGGACAGAAGTCAGGAGGAAATCTAGCGCAGATAAACCCAACAAGAGTAATGCAATTCAGGTCAGAACTACAAAAAGAGATCAGCACCCCAACAAACAGGGACATTGAGACGCCAGAGCAACAAACGTCATCAAGTGAGGCTTGGTCCTCTACATTCGAGAACACGGCCCCATCTCCGAGCAGACTGAATCAAAAGAAGACGCATCCCCAATTACCACGAATATCGGCAGAAGTAACCAAGAAATCTACTAAGAACCGACAATCGGCGTTGGCGGGAGCGTTGGGAACTCCAGTACCAATAAGTGCAATTAACGAAGCTAAGCAAATGCCAACGGAACCCAAAAAGAAACAATTTTCTATCGAGTCACCGACCAACAAATAAAGGGAGGGGAACAACTCGAAAATAAAAAGTTAAACCCACGAGATGGGTTTCCATGAAAAATTGCCAGAATATCAAGCATGTGTGAAATTTTCAAAAACAATAAAACCCAAACCTAAAAACAAAAGCATGGAAATATTGGATTTGGTGTCCCCGACTTTCAGTTCAAGCAGAATGATATCAGATATTAGAGAGGTTTTTCTTGGTATCGATCAAAAAACAAGAAGACAACGAAAGACGAAATAAACTCGGGACTCAATAAATCAATAAAATATGAAGGGACTCAATAAACTCGCAATTCAACTTAAGTCTACTTGGACTCAAAAACTCAAGTTTATTTTTGACTTCCAGGGGGAGTGTTATCCGGCCGGAATGGCAAAACCATAACAGTGGTTATATTTGAATATACATATAGTAATCTATACTGATCGAATGGCCTTGTATCTTTTGAAAACTACCTCCATAGCCACACCGAGTGATCGGCAGAGCAAGAAATAAATGGTTTTATCAAACAGTTGTCTTTTTTACACGTAACCTCAGTCGTCGTATTTGCCAATTCCGCTCGGATTTGGTATTGAAGATCTACGCATACCATAAGGTATGACATATAGATTCATGCCAGATATGCTTGGTGTTTTTTCACATAGTTTCAACTCTGCCATTGGCGTGCGCAGAAATTTTCTATGGAAAAGCGGTTTTTCGAAATAAGTTTGAAAACTTTTTTTAGGTCGACCAATTTGTTTCTTCGAACTCTCCGAAACAATTATTCTATCAACAATTTTTTGAGCGGCATGCATTATTTTTTTTTGAAAAACAAGCTAAGAATGGCGTTTTTAGCATTTTCAAAAACTATTTGATTAAGAAAATGCGTTTTTTGGCGCGCGCTTCCCCCTCAAATGTAGTTATATTGGCGTCGAAGGCGCCTTCAGAAGTTTATTTATAGTTCACGTTGAAAATTGAGGAAAATTACTCAAAATCTTTTGCAAAAGTTACTCAAAAGCTTTTAAAAAGTATCTCAGGAGTGTTTCAAATCTTACGTCATCCTCATAATCTTCGTCGTCATAGCCTGAAGAGTAGTCGCCAGTTGCGTAAGTCGCATTTGCATCACAACATTCGTAGATCTTCAGCTCAGCGATTAGTGTCGAGTTCACATCGCTAGTCATGTTCACGTAGATGTTCCTCAGTTTTTCCAACTCTGCCTCGGCGGTGAAGTTGCGACATTCGTAGTCGTGATAGCACACTTTGTCTTCGTAAGTTCTTTGCCTGAAACCAATATGCGCTCAGTTTGTTCCAAAAATATAAACTTCAATTTCTGTTTTTTTTCTAATCTTTCGTGAACTTGCATTAGAAGCAGGAGCGAACCTAGGATTTCCTCGAGGGGGAAGGGGAGCTTTCTCCCTTCAAATCAAGCATATTCTAGAAAAAAAATTAGGGTCGTTCAGCCGAAAATTGATGTCTTAAAAAGTACCAAAGGGGGAGGGAAGTTCAAAACAAGCATATTGGCAAAAGCAGCTCGAAAAAATAAAGGGTTTGTCGACCAAAAGTCATAGAACCCAAAAGTGGCGAGGAGGTCCAATCCGGGGAAGGAGGGGCTGGTGAATGACTGTGTGTCGCTATTAAAATCTTCGCTGGGCAATTGAAAAAACAAGAGGGTGGGGTAGAGGTGTTTTTTTTGCTTTAGTTGCGTTTGTTTCTTCTCCATAAACCCGCTCTCGTTAAATTATGGTATAAATCAACTATTTAAAAACAAATAATTAAGTGTCGCCAAAATTGCTGTTTTCTGACAAAAAATGTTGCCTTTTCAACGTTAGTAAGGCTGCACACTACCAAATTTAGTGTTAATGACAATCATTAGCTTTTCCAAAAAAAAAATAGAAAAAGCTTTAATTAAGAAACGCTCTATTGGTAACATTTAAAATAACAAATAGGAGATTGGGGATAGCGGGAATTTTCTGAATGAAACAAAAACATTTATTACTATAAAGTATTATTAAAATAGTCGATTAAGGGGGTAACCACGAGAAAAAAGGCACAAAACTTTGAAAAGGTTTTATATCCGAGTGATTTTGTGGGGCTTCAACCTATTGAGTTTTCCATTTTATCACTATTTTATTGAAAATTTAATGACCCATAACTTATTACCATTTTCCTTCCAATTATTGCCATTTATAATCGGGTTGTCTTTTGTTGCCCCCGAATTGGTCTCAAAATAGTGGTAAAAAAGGGGTTAGACCGATTTTTTTTCTGTTATTGTTCTCTGACAAATTACCCTTTTAAAATATTCATCTCCGACTCTTATTGCTTTTAACCTGGTTTTGCTGTCATAAAATACTATCACCAACAAATACCTATATAATAAACACTATTAGAAACCGATTACTTGTAGATTCTAGCCGTTGAAAATGAATAAAGTTATTCTGAGCCTCGTACTACTCTCAATTTTGGTAAGTTTTTTATCATGGCGAATTTTGTATGCACACTTCCGGGGACCGTAATTTTAGCATAAAGATAAACAAGACTGCTCGTATCAGGGCGAAGCCCTGAATGTTCCGACTGCCTTTTAAGCATTATGGGGCAGTAATAACATCAAAAAATAAATTTAATAAAATAGAAATGAAAAAAAAAATTCTAAAATTTGAATTTTTTTTATGAAATCATCCCCCGACACGCCATATAAAGTAAAAAAAAAAATTTCGCTCATTTTAACAAATCAATTATGGCGAATACGTTTCGTTCAACCAATTTGGAACGATTTCTAAGACGCATTAAATCTCCGCTTACGCGTTAATAGCCCGAAATATATCGCGCGTTAATTGTCCCAAATTGGTCAAAATGGCAATCTTTAAACCCCCATAACTGTACGAAAAATCATCACAGGTGAAATATCTTTTCAAATTTAAGCTTAGAACAACAATACCTTTTGAATGATAAAAAAAAATTCTGTCAAAAATGGCTAGTTAAAAAGTCAAAATTTGTCTGAAGAAAAAAAAACCCACCCCGAGCACAAATATTCCGTTACTTTCGTATCGAAAAACGGAACAATAGCATGAAAATTTGAGAGGTGTTCCATTACACATAAGCCGATCAGATTTCATAATACTAATACTATCCAAAACATTTCGGTCATCGATCTTATTCTGCTATATCAGAAATTTGGTAGTAAATGAGCACAACAAAAAAAATGACATAGCTTTCATTCAGTTTGAACTAACGTAAGAATGCTCGTATATCAGGGCAAAACCCGAATGTTTTGACTGCCCTTCAATTGGTCTCAAATAGTTTTAGATAAAAGAGAATATATGAGAAACTATTAATTTTGAACAATGTCGAAGATCGAGTGTGAAAATATTAGTCGTACGACATTATTAACAATGATTTTGTTGTGCGGGATTATTCGCCAAACATTAATATTTCGATTAGGAGTCGCCAAGGCGCTTAAAGATTTACTGTTAAAAATTTTTACTTCGATCGCCGAAAAATGTTTGGATAAAAAACCACCCCAAGCATAAATATTCCGTTTCTTTCAAAAATTGGAACAAAAAATAGCAAAAACGAATAAATTTCATGCATCTGCCACTAAATTTCGATGCCAAAATTTTTGTCCGATTTTTTCAGAATCACGATATGGATTGCTGCTACAGAGCTGAAAATTTAGTTACAAAAGCACGCGATAACTTGTAAATAAAGCTGGCAAAAACCCTATTTTGTATGCTAATGTTTTTGTTCATCCCCACGCTCTCGCATAGAATTCTGTTATCAGCATCTTGAACGACTTTCAATTTCATCAGGAAGTTTCACAAAAATGTTTTGAAGCCAAGTTTGCGAAACTTAAACTATTTATACTTGAAGGCAAAAATAAAAGCATTTTTTAAGATAAATATTTTTACTGAATCAAAGTGCTTAAGTTTAACTAAAGTTTGATTTATGGTGCTGCAAAATTTGGCCCAGATTACAGATGGAACATTTTTAAAATGGACAGATAGCTCTTATTGGAAGCAAGAATTGCTATCCTGAAGCTTAGTACAGACATGTATGAACTGCCAATTGTATGTTTTTAATTTTGGGTTTTATAAAAAAACTTTTGCTTAATGAAAATCAATCAGAATGTCTGCTTAAAAATTTCGAAGACAAAAATTGATTGTCATTTGGCAGCGACTATCTGAAAAAAATATAGTACATATATGTATGAGAAGAAACCTTGAAGGGAGGCGGAGCAATAAGTAGAATGGTCCAAGTGCAGAATGGGTCCAAGAGCAGAAAAACAGATAAATATTGACTTATATTGGCTTATAAGGGCTAATTGATAAAACAATTATTATAATCGTCAAAAAATACCAAGAAAACGAATAAATTACGCATGAATTGACTAATTTCATTAGGTTTTTTGATTAATTTTTTTAAAATTCTTGATTAAATTGCTCAAATTATGCATAAAATGTTCGTTGCTTTGCTATTATTGACATTTCTGATGATTATTTTACCGATTAGCTTATAGAAGTTGTTATTTTTCCTTTTTTTCTGCTCTTGGACTCATTTTGCTTTTAGACGAATTCTGCTTAATGACTGGCCGCCACCTTGAAGACTATGTAATCAAGGCCATCACTTTCGTTCAAATCAATTTCTCCTCACTCAGATCAGGGAGAAAGAACTAACAAGAATACTAATATATCCTGGCAAAGCTCCTCCGGCTGCCGTCAGTATCGAATAGTTTTAATCAAGGACAAATTAAAAAACCATAAAATCTGGACTATATCTAACATCAAGTGTGAAAATTGGATTCGTACTGAATTGTTATGACCGCTTAGCCGCCATTTACTTTTGAACGGTTGCCTAGTACGGGTTAAATTGCGACGCAAAAACTTCTTGAGTTGCGTTTTCAGCATCAACTGCACTGGAGCTCTACGAAAAAATAATGATTAAATCTGACTTTTATTGTCTATATCTATAAGAGAAAAATAATCAACTATGATCAATTAAAAACGGACTTTATGGTTATTTTTATCAAAAAAAAACTTTGCAAATCAATTATAATCGATCAATTTTCACTTTTACAGATAAAGACAATGCAACTTCATTATATTGATTTTTTTTTTCGTTTTTTTGAGATGCGCAAAAAATTGCTCATTTGAAACATTTTCTCAATTTACTTAAACAAGAGTTGTATGTATCTAATTACCCTGAGAAACAGCGCGCTGAAAAATGCAGTTTCTGAAAAATGGAACTTCGACCTGTATTTTTTGGTGTTTGGGGATTGGTTCTGGTGATGGGGGGGGGGGAGTGGCGGTGGGAAAAGACAAAGGACAAATGGGGAGGGAAAAGGGCAAACGTTTGCATTTTGAAAAATCTGAGGTTTAAAAATAGAGTAAGCTGTGGACCCGTTTTGCATAATTTCGCATTATTCATACGAAAAATGCTTTTGCAGAACTTTTGAAAAATCTGCAGATCTTTTGAAAAATCTGCTTTTGCAGATCATGTTTTTGCAGAAATCGTTGCAGAAGTTTTTGCTGAAGTTTGAACGACACCAAACAAAAATAAAGTAGAAAAAATTCATTCTAATTGAATTTAAATGGATTATAATTAACTTTAAATTTGATAAAACAATGGATAAAAATCAAGTCTTTATTCCCTTTTGTGGTCTGATAGTCACAGGGGATTTGATTTTTTTTATAAAATTTTAGACTACAGAGATCCATTTCAATTAAATTTCTTTTCACTTTTCTTAGATGCCGGCATAACAAGTCTTCAAAGAACATGTAGGCTATTCCAAAGCATGGCCAAAATGGCTGGCAACTTTTCAATCCCCAATATTTTACAAAAAAACTCTGTTTATATTTGAGTTCACGGAGTCGATATCTGCAATGGGGTATGTAAGTTTTTTCTTAAAAGTTTTGATTCAATCACCGAATTTTGGCTGATAAAAAAATCAATCCAATAAAAAAATTTTCCCATTTTCTTTAGAAGTCGGAACAAAAAATTCTTGATTGTTTTGACTGCCCTTCATGGCTTACTAATAAGCTTATCAAATAACTTTTTGCAGGATTAAAAAAAAAATTCCCCACACGCTATATAATGTACAAAAGTGTTGAACTAACGGCCCACCCTTAATTAATTTTTAGTGACGTATTGTTAGGATCAAAACGCGCCTCAATTTGGAACGAAAACTGCTCTAAATATGTCGCACGGGTAATGTCCAAAATGGACCAATTTGGCATTTTTAAAAATACACAATTTTACAAGTGTGATCGCTGGTTGATAATAATTTTTAAATGTTGTTCAGGAGGCATCAATAGTTTTCAGATGTATGTAAAAATTTTCCCTACCAGAAGAGCCAGTTCAAAAATTGCAAAAACCTGGCAAAAAAAAAAGAAATTGAAAAAAAATTTCATCGATGCTGATAGATAAACAGATTGAGGCAAAAATAAAAATTATCAGGTTGCTTTGCCAATAGCGCTGAGTGATCCAACTACAGAAACAATTGCCAAATTTTCATGAAAAAACGTAACAAGTAAACGATCTTTTCCCCATAATCAGTTTAGGAATGAGGTTGTTCGTTGGTTCAAGCTATATTTTTCACCCAATCAGAATTCAGCAGTTTACTGTTTTACTTGGCCATTTATTTTTTTTCTAGTAAGAGGGGTGGTGGTGAGCGTACCAATTTTTTCCATCTAAACAGCCAATCAGCCATATCAGCAATACCTTATCAGCCATAAACTAAACACCAAAAACAGCACTGTTTTCAGAGTTTTAGAAGTAGTTATTTTATGTTTAAATTTTTTCTCGTTTTGGGCGAGGGGTTGGAAAGCTGCCCCAGAATTAAGTGTTTTAAAAAATGATGTGTCAGAGGATGATTTGGAAAAAACATCTCTTTTTTTTGAAAAAAAATAATCTTTTTTTAATCAAAAACTTGTCCATGGAGAGGGTGGAACTTGTCCACGGAGAGCCGGTTATCGCCTCTAACTTTATCTCGCTTTCAGGTAACAGGCGACCTTAAGCCGAGATAGTCAGCTCAGTTGTCTCTGACCAATCGAACTGTTTAAAGAACATAGGCTAAATTGGCACAGGGTTGATTGGCATAGGGTTGATTGGAATATAGGGTAGATTAGAATAGGGTAGAATGGCATAGAATAGATTGTCATGGATCCAAAAAAATTATAGCAGCATACCGTTTTAAAATTTTGGTTTTACTAACAAAGCTTCTTTCTAGTTTAAAATGTGCTTTATATGTTGCAGGCTAGCAGCATCAGTGCGGGTCGTGTTTCGAAACAGTGGCTGATTGACAACAAAGACAACTTGCACAAATTCACCCGGGTTTGTACGGGAAGCGAAGCGGTTCCGCGATGAAAACTACTAGACGGGAACAGGTCAGCAAATTGAATCGAAACTGAAAAAATATATAAATTTGCATTAATTTCGAATCGTTTTCAAATACAGGCGAGTTTTTCTATTTTATTCAGTGAGGCTATGATCACTTAAAATCAATATTTTTATGGATAAGTTTTACCGAACTAAAAAATTTAGAAACTCCTGAACGACAAGTTCCTCAAATTGTGAAGGTCTTATCTGTTTCAGGAACAGCTCGAGTCTAATTCAATAGGTGGACCGCAGCAAGGATTTGCAGAGAAACACTTTTTCGTAGCACCGATTCCCGAGTTGAAAAAGAAATCATCGGCCATGTATTTCCGAAAATAAAACTAGCACTAAAATGAAATTGCAAAGAAAACTCAAATATCCAGTATCAAAATTAAAGTAGTGCTGTTTTTCTTTTTAATCAGAAAAGACGAAGAAACGCAATAAGAACTGAACAATTGAAGTTTTTTCAGATTTTTAAGAATAATTAAGCGAGCGGTGGTGAAGTCGGTACGTCTCCGCCTCTCAATCGAGAGGTCTGATGTTCGAGGCCCACCATGATCCGTGCTCCTTGCTTGAGGGTGAAGCAACATTACCCAGCACAGAAAAATAGCCAAAAAAGTGCATGTAGTTCTTAAACAGGGGCACAACAGCGGTTTGCCGTGATGAGCTGTACAGCTCTTGTGTTGGTCGTTTCCCCCGTGGATGAATGGTCTTAATAACTTAATAATAATTTTGTTCTATTTGCTCACTTTAAAACCCATATTTCAGTCCCTGCGCAAAATTCGCATACTTTGCAAATGATGGCCAAAAAATCTTTTGATTCAATCTTTTTCTGAAACTTCAGTTGACAGCGATAATCCAACGCAAGCATTCAATTGAGGAGGGTTTTTAGAAAACAACGACGAATCATCTCTAGATTACTCAATTTAGTCGAAAAGCGCAGCAGAACTGAAAATCATTTCGTATCAAACCGTCTTTTGCTATTGCCGGAACTGTACAAAACTAAATTAGAATTTTGTTCCAACTTTTCAAGAAATTGAAAAAAAAAATTTGCTGGAATGATTTTTTCTCGAGAAAACTTTTGATATTTTTTCAAGGAACAGTTTTTGAAGGATTTTCCATGTGCTTGAAAAATATTAATGCAATGAGCTCAAATGTAAAAGATTTCTCATGAATGTTTTTTTTAACAGAGTAATGGGATTTGAAAATAATGAGAAAATAAAGCGCCAAATTTGTTGTTCTGTTAATGCGTAAGCATGATTTAATTCGGCTCAAATTACACAAGATATTTGGCAGATCATATTAGTTGCAGATGCGAGAGCTACTACTTTTTAGTTTAAATAGCGCTTAGGAAAAGTTTTGAAAAATTTTGATAACATTTTCAAGTCTTATCTATTTTTTCATGGACGTTTGAAACTACTTCGCAGATGTAAACACGATGAAAAATTTACTGATTTTTTGGGTAATTTTTGTTATTAGGCGTATAAATCAGGGGCGGATTTAGGGGGGGGAGGCGGGGGGCGGACGCCCCCTTCTCAGGGATTCGACCCTCTGCCGACCCAAAGGGTCCCCCCTTGGTACTTTTTAAGAAATCCATTTTTGGCAGATCGATTCTAAAAATTTTCTAAAGGCGCCTTTGGCGCCAATATATCCTCATTTTGAGGAGAAGCACGCGCCAAAAAAAACGCAATTTTTTAGTCAAAATTTTCTAAAAAGTTCCCAAAAACGGCTTTTTTTTACCTGTTTTTCAAAAGTTTGCCTGCGGCGCAGAAAATTGGCCCAGAACAGCGTCTTTTTAGTGCTTTAGAAAAGCTCGGAAAATCTATTTGGTCAACCTAAAAAAAAAGCCACAGCAAAACATTCGGGTCGAGGTTCTCATTTTTTGCTTCCACTTTTAAATTACAGCACATAAACGAGCTCAAACAAATATAATAGTTGATACAGGGGTTTGAGTCGAACACAAAAACTCGAATCATACTGCGAGCACAGTCGAAACATCAAAATTTGGTCGAGCCTGGTCGAAACATATCAACATTTAATCGAGACGGTCAAAACATAAAAATTTGGTCGAGCACGGTCGAAACATATCCAAATTTGCTCGAGACTGTCAAAACATAAAATTTTGGTTGAGTACAGTCGAAACTTATCCACATTTGCACGAGAAAACCGAAAAGTCAAATATTGATTGAGCATGTCGAAACAACTCCACATTTAATCGAGACGGTCGAAACATAAAACTTTGATCTAGCATCGTCGCAATATTTCCACATTTGATTGAAACGGTCAAAACAATTCAAAACTCAGTCGAGCACTGTCAAAAGGTCTCCCCATTTATTCGAGACGATAGAAATTTATCACAGCAAAACACATTCACAACACATTCACAATTGCTCGAGTTGGTCGAAACATCAGATTTTGGTCGAGCGCGGTCAACACAAATCCATATTTGCTCTAGAGTGCGGAATCATACTAAAATTTGGTCAAGCGCTTTCAAAACACATTCAAAATTTCTCGAGACGAATGAAATATATCAACGTTTAATGTGGACGGTCAAAAATTATCAAAAAATGGTCAATCACAATCAAAACACACTGCGACCACCGTCTAAACATGAAAATTTAGTCGAGCGCGGTCGAAAGATTTTTACCTTAACTATCATCGATACATATCAAAATTTCGCACGACCAAAACACATGCACATTTGCTCGAGACGGTTGAAATATATCAAAGTTTAGTCGAGCACGGTCAAACGATATCCACATTTACTGAAGACGGTAGAAACATCAAAAATCGGTCAATCGCCTTTGAAAGATTCCGCGAGCCTGGCGAAGACTTATCAAAATTTGATCGATCACGGTCGAAACACTCCGAACTTTGGTCGAGAGGGTCGAAACATCGTGAGCACCTCGATCAGGGAAATAAGTCTAGTTTTTAGTGCAATTGGTTACCTAGTTATCTTAGAAATTGAACTCAATGGAGCGCCATTTTTGGGCAATTCTTTCCATGGCTGAAAATGGACCAAAAATTGCTCGTTTATAGGTGTCGTCAATTTGAAATTAAGATCCGAAAAAGACTCTCTGGTTTTACCTGATAAAAATCATTTAATAATTAAGATTAACGTAGATCTTAAGTAAAGTTTAAGCTCAAAACCAATCAGAAATAAACAAATGGTTTTTTATTATTTCAGAACTCTTCAAGAGTTTTTTTTTCATCAGAAAAAAATTTCTTCTTTTTAAATAGCCAATTTTGACGAAATTTTTTTGTGTTTGTCATTCAAAAAGTATTGCTGTCGTGCGCTTAAATTTGAAAAGATGTTTTAGAGGTTGTTTCCAACGTATTCTACATGCAAGACACACAACCATTTGTTCTTTCAAACTGCGAGTAACGAGCATCTTTGCAACTTGTGTGCACATTCGAACACAACCCAAAAGTTTGAAGAACAAGTTAAATGAAGAAAAAACCCGTTTTAGTTTATGAAAAACTAGTCATGAAATTTCCATATATGAAAACTACTCTTTATATACGTTTCATGCAGTTTCGGTACTTTGTATGAATTGTATGATTTGAAATTTATGGAATTGTATTTTTCTTGCATGGAAATTGTATGCGTAGTTTTTTGGTCAACACGAAAACTGTCCCAATTTGACAAATAATCGAAATTTTTCTGAAGAAAAACCACTCCGAGCACAAATATTCGTCACTTTCTCTAAAAGTTGCAGCTATCATATTTTGTTGTGAGAAAAAAGGGCGAAGTTTCTTTTGGTGCTTTATCTCTTATTGCTTCTATTCCTCATTGAAACCAACTCAGATCAAGTCTTTCTTAAAAGTATTTTGTCTAATTTTTAAATACTTAAACCACCATCCATGAAAGATTAATTCTAATTTTTTTCTATTTTTTTTCCGTGCTATCAATTTTGTGCTCAACCAAAAAAATGTCCCATTAATTGAAAATTTCATTTCGTTTGGTGTGAAACTGTTGTGCAACAGAGATTATTAAAAAGAGTGCTCGTATCAAGGCGAATCTCTGAATGTTCCGACTGCCTTTTAAGATTTATGGAACAGTAAATTAAATGAAACAAAATAAAATGAAAACTTTTTTTTCTAAAATTTCAGACTTTTTTTGAAAATCAACGCCCCCACACGCCATATAAAGAACAGAACCTGGTAACAAAACCTGGCTTCTTGTAACAAATCAATTATGGCAAATAAGCTTCTTTCAACCAATTTGGAACGATTTTTAAGATGGATTAAATCTACGCTTACGCGTTATTAATTGTCCCGTTGAGCAAAAATGGCAATCTTTAAAGCCCCGTAATTGATCACAAGTAAAATATTTTTTCAAACTTAAGCTCACGACAACAATAGCTTTCGATTGATATGAAAAAAAAATTCGTCAAAAATGGCTGGTTAAAAAGTCGAAAATAACCCACCCAGAGCACAAATATTCCGTTACTTTCGTTACGAAAGTCGGAATAATAATTAATGCTAGTATCAATACTTCTGGTCGTGTTGGAGCAGAAAATTGCTCAACTTTTTTATAAGGATTTAAAAAAAGACCTTGTCTTTGACATTTAGGTACATTTTTCTGTTATGCTCGAAACAAGATTCATGGGTGGCAAACGTTTCTACAAAATTGATTTTTTTTCTATCTGGATTAATTTTTCAATAAGCAAGTGTTTTAGTCATAAACAAGTATTTGAAAAACCCAGTGGATTTAGAAGGGGGAGGGTATAAATGGACGCTTCCTTTCCCTCAGGAATTCGACCTCTCTCACCCTCGATTAAGTTGAGGACATCCAATTTCGGCCGAACAACTAAAAATTTTCTCAAGGCACATTAGGCACCAATACGAACTAATTTTGAGGGAGCACGCGCCAAAAAGAAATGCAATTTTTTGGTCAAAACTATCCAAAAAGATCTAAAAACGGCAATTTCGACCTGATTTGTGTTCAATAAATATATTTTTTCAAATTGAGGTCTTTTCAGTGTTCTGTGAGCGCTCGGAAAATCAATATAATATCATAAAAAATTTTCCACAATTTTTTTGAAAACTTTTTGCAACTATTTTAAGTTTGCTGGAAGTGAAACAGGTGAGTAAATCAAGTTAATTCGAATACAACAGTTAATCTTGCGTGGTAGCGTAGTACTTTTAGGGCTTTTCATTTTTTGATCACTCGCAGCGAAAGCGATCTCGGCTTGGTGTTTTTCCTTGACTTCGCCTTATAGGAAATTGTCACATGGAGTTCAGTAGAAAAAAAGGAATTTCCTGTACCGAAAAAAGGGTATGCCCATTTCGTTTTTATGCAACGAAATGACTAAATTTCAAAAAATGAACACGAGTAAAGAGGAGATCAAAATATGCAACCAAAAAAATTATCCTAAAACTCAAAGGTTTGTAATTATTTTTATTTTTCCTTCTTTTTCGCAAGAAATGCGGTTGAAGCGTTTTATTATAATCGAAAAACAACAGATACCTTTTTGACTTTGCAAACGCTTGAAAAAGGTCCGGAATGTCTGAAGTCTCAATTTTTTGCTATAATTATAAATATCTTTGAGATTAGCTGCGATTAAAGTGTTTTTAGATGCGATTAAAATTTACCTGCGACAGCTTGGCGCTTTTTAATAATAATCTAAATGGTAAAAATAAGTTGGTTAGATAGGTGATTTCCTCGGGCGTAGCAGCCAACACTTTGCTTTAAATAAAAGCAACTGACACAGAAGATATAATAAGTAAAACAAAACAGCTGTTCCCATTCAAATTCTCAGACCGTGAAGATCGTGTAAGGTAATTGGTTTGAAAATGGTGCCACGGGCTAATCATCAAACACGGAATACAGATAACTTATAGAGATAAATAAGGTAAGATATAATATCATTACTGAGTAAAGATCGCCGCGAAAGAACAAAAACATGCATAGAACAGCTTTTTAGCTCTGATTTTGTAGGATCGTGCATACTTAAAAGACCGACATGAAATCTTTGACACTTTGTTCTGGGTGATTAAGGCTCTCTCAATCTAACAACCAGGAACACGGTTTATTCTGAGCAGCGAGCTACTGAACTTTAGATTGGAAGACGGATAGTTTAAACTACCCAGTTAAATCTGGCTTTAATGAAGACGCCTCAAATGAGAACCTTCGTTTTCGTTCGAGATCGTTTTCATTAGAAAACAAGATATATTTTTCGTCTGCCGGCAGCCATTTTTGGCGGAAAAAAGGAGAAAAAATTTAGAGGTGGCGCGCGCGCCAGCCCAATTGAATTTTTTTGTCAATACTTTCCAAAAACTGCCCAAAGATTTTATTTGGCACATTTTTTCTAATATTGTCTGGCGGCATAGGGTTTTCATGGCCTTATGAAAATGATCAGTAAATAACTTTGCTAACTCCAGAAATGGTAAGTTAAGTTTTTAAATATATTTTCTTGAATCCTTTTGAGATATTTCCTAGTTCCGTTTTTGGATTTCAGATATAGATTAAAGAACGCAATGAAGGATAATTTTCAGAGAAGTTGTAGATATTAACCCAATTGGAAGTTTCAAACTCTGGTTCTCGAGAAAAACAGTTTTTTTTATTGCCATTGCGGCATTAGTTAACATTTATTAAGGTCAGCCAACTAAGTTAATACTGTCAATCTAACTTTTAATCTCGCTCAAGTCTATTTCTCAGTACGACAAGAAGATTGATAAAAACAACATTTATTGATTCTTTTTTTAGCTAAATTATTGCAAAAGTTTTAATGTTTTTGGCAAAAGTTTAAACAGGACTCTAAACAAGTTTCAGTGACGTCACGTGGCATAGCCCGCTTAGATTCAATTTTGGGTGAAAGAACGTTTTTTATAGGCGCTCTTGTTCTATGGGATGAATTTCATCTGAGTGAACTTAAACGAGAGATTTTTCTAGAACGGCATTTTTTCTGACAACATCCTTGCAAGAAAATTGTGACTTACAGTGCCAGGGATATTGTGGCTTAGAGGAAGATACAAAAAGCGAATGTCGAAAGGAAGGGGGAAAAACACCAGATAAAATCTAAGGCTTACTACCACGACGCCTAAAGTCGTTTCAGATCATGATTTTCCTTTTTTCTTGGCTTTCGAGGGCAAGAGGAGAACACTGTTTTTGTTTTCGGGAAAACGAGCACGTATGTCTATCTCCATAACTTTAACCACTTTACCACATTGAGAAAAATGCTAATGATTTTTTTTAACGTAGACCATTTTTTTAACGTAGATTCGAAAATGATTTTCTGAGCTTTCCTAGATCACTCTAAAGGCCCCCATTTTGACCAGATATTCTGCGCCGCCAAAAATGACGTTTTAGGCAATTTTTGGAAATTTTTGACCCAAAAACGCGTTTTTCGGCGCGCGCTTCCCCCTCAAAATTAGTATATATTGGCGCCAAGGGCGCCTTTAGAAAATTTTAGGGTCCGTCACCAAAAATAGATATCTCAAAAAAGTACAGAGGGGGGACCCTTTGGGTCGGCAGGGGGCCGACTTGCTGAGAGGGGGGAGCGTCCTTCACCACTACCCCAACCCTCCTAAATCCGCTGGTGTCGTAGACTCTGTGGTGAACATCTGTTGACTATCGAAAGGTAAATGTTGAAAAAACGGATATGCGTCTATGTGTCTATGTTCAAATTTTTTTATGACTATCAAGCGGAATGTTTTGTTTCGCAGTGCTATCGTCAAATTTAATTTGGGTCCAAGGAATGATCAATGCACAAGGAAATTTTTTATATACCAGTAAAGTTTGTTGCAAAAACTGCAAATACGTTTTGAAAATATGAATTTGAATAAAATTGCCATTCTGAATCTGCAATCAAAAAATGAAACTTTTTGGTTTGAAAAATTGTATAGAAGTTCTATTGTTTTCAAATAAGTGTCTTTCTAATTAAAAAAACAGGATTTTTTTTTCATTACAGTGTCTGAGACATTTTTATTGAGAATCATCTTTCAAGCAAAAAAAGTAGTTTTTAGGGTGATATATCGACCAAATTCTAGAAATCTGAGGTATTGCAACAAATGACAGAAGTGCCATGGATATGATCATTAACAAGAGAATATAACAGGTGGATGTCAACCGGATTAAGGAAAAACCGAAGGCTAAATCTAAGGTTTACTACCGCGACGACTCGAGTCGTTTTACGTAGTTTTTTTTGGTCTTCGAGGACAAGAGGAAGATTTTTTTTCGGGAAAACGCGTGCGTAAAATATATTAGATACTCAAATCATTTTAATTCATATAACTTCAAAACATTCTTACGCTTCTGTAAATTTGACGCGAAATGTTCATATTTGTTCAGATTTGTCCATATTTGAAAATTGTTAACGGTTTTAAATCAGCCGAAACAAACATGTATTTTCAGAAACCTTTATTCAAAGTATGCAAGTGTTTTTATAATCGTATGCAAAAATTTTAACTAATTTTTAATGCAGAGCGAAACACCTTAACGATGTTGATATCTTATCTGGAAGCATTCTTGTTCTTGACACGCCACAAAAGCATTTATGTTTTTACAACGTATTGAAAAATTCTATTGCTTTTCCAGCATATATATAAAATATGTCCAGTTTTTTTTACTCTATGCAAGAAACGCCTATGATTGCGAGACATGCACAACATGCATAACATTGAAGATTTTGACTTTTAAGCTTCTCAATCTTGCTCTTTTCACCACAAAAAAACTTCTATCAATTTCAGATGTACTTGAAAAGTTTTCTTGTTTTTTAAAAAATATGCAAGAGTTGTTCATTTTTTCATGTTTGCAAAAAAACACCACCTTTGATCTTTATATGAAGCAAAGCAAATTGTTTTTACAAGGCATGGTTTACACAAATATGAAGGTTTTGCCGATAAACAATTCATTGTTGATTTGAAAATGAAATATTAGGTTTGAACTAATCGCTTACAACAAAAAGAAAACTTAAAACACGTCAAAGAAAAGTTCAAAAACAACCATTTTTATCCAGCTCGAAAGAATGGTCCCGGATTGAATTCCAGAAAACAAAATGATTTTGGTGCTGATTTGAACGAAAATTTGAAAAGTGATGAAGATGATATACAGTCCTGTCCTTTTAATTTTCAATTGTCCAATCTTATAAACAAGTACGTGAAATACTGTTTCAACTTTTTCGAAACTCTGCGCTAATTGTTCTGACCAATGGAATTGGGAAGGTATTGTGTACTTTGTATTCAGGAACCACATTAAGAAAACCCGAAAACTTTTTGTCAATTTTTTGTCTAATTTCCAGCAAATAAAGCAAGCGATCAGGTACACATTATTACTTATGCCTAATTTAAGCACCAAAAATTTAATTTTAGGCAAACTTAATTAGTTTTTGGAGTTTCTTAGTTCCATTTTGGAAACCAAAAATTTCAAAAGTTGAAGTAAGAAAATGAGACATTTTTTCATTTTTTTGGTTTTGTGTTTTTCTACTCAATTTTCTAAAGAAAGTTTGAGTCCAGTTTGCCTAAATTTAACATCCCATGGAGAAAAAAACTTCGCCAATTTGAAAAAAAAGAAGCTTTTTCTAGTAGTTTTTAAAGACTATGGTCGGAACATTTTATGCTACTTGACAGTAACCAGCTATCCTTGTTTTGGTTTTGAGTTTTTCTGTAAAACCATTGATACCCAAAACTTTCATAATCATGGTAATAGTCCGCTTTCTGGAAAGTTTTCAATGCTTTATAACAAATCATGCAGGACAATTATTCAAAACGAGGTGAAAATGGATATTATTAAACTTTGAAATCAAGATACGAAACACAATTTCGCGATGTATGTTGATCTCTTAATATTTTTCTTCTAATTTACCTAAATTTTTGTATATTACCACTAACCAAACCTCATTTTGCTCTTAGGCGCCAGTTCAATAAGTTTGGAGCGCGCCAAAACATCTGAAACTTTTTGGTTAAAACCCAAAACGTTAAAACACGTCAATTTTTACCCTATCTTTTTAAAAACGTTTTGCCTGCTTTGCATTAACTAGAGACATTAGTGTTGGAAGAACTCACAAAACTATCTTGGTTGCCTAAAAACAAAAATGACTAAATTATTAGTGTTTTTTTTTCGAGAATACGTCCTCTAAAAATTATTCCGCTTTTTACATGAAATCCTTAATCCGCGTCTGATGCTAAGTGTGTTCAATTGGTAGTAAATTCGAAACTCGGAAACTTCATATTTGAATGTTTTCAGTTATTCCTCAATTGGTTAAAACTAAAAACAATATGAAAGATTTTAAAAATATCAAACTTATAAAATTAGAAAAATTTTTTCAGAATTAGTTAGCGCCAAAATTCATTTAATGGTTTGGCTTGAGTATTCTAGTTTTTTTTGTAGAAAAAAATATCAAATGTTTGCTAATCAACTCGATTTATAGGTTTCAAAAATATACTTCGCCTTTACAGAAAGACAGAAATTACTTTTATGAGACTTTTATGGTTAATATAACTCTACTAAGTCTCATAGAAATATGCTTATACAGTAAGAGCTGCCTTTTCATATGATAAAGAAACTCTACTTTTCCATCACCTTCGCCAGCCACTGTCACAAAAACCCATTGGATCTTTTCTGAATCTAGTTGTAAAATTAGTTGGTCTCGAATTTTTGCAACCGAGACCCCAGTTTCTCTTTCCATGTCAAATAGCACAATTTTCAATTTTTCGTTGGCTATTTTAGTGTTGTTTGAATTGTCTGTATTTTCTTTGGCAGCTGGCATTATAAATATGTACATGTTGTAAGGGTAAGGCCCTGTGTAAACCC